GCTCTTATCAAAATCTAACTTTCTGTTAACAACAAATTAGTGAAGAATTTAACATTTTCATTAGTTCATTATCAAAACCCCATGTGTTACGTGTGTACCTCAATTAATTACATACGAAATCAGAAAATCAAACGGAAAGTCAAATAATCGATCAATTTATATTTGCAAACTATTTGAAAACTAATTTTTTTAATAAATTTTTTACATTTATTTTTATATAATAACACAAATTTATGCAAAGTTGCAAAGTAAGTAAAATAGTGTCAATTTACAAATAGTGGTAATTCTAGCAAGTTTTTTTTGACCTAATCTTCGACCTAAATCTTTTTGACTAAAATGCAAAATAATTCAATTTTTTAAATTTGTGTTTCTGTCAGAAAAATTGAATCATTTCAATAATTTTAAAGATTCTTATTTGTTGTTATATTTGGAAATTTTCAGAAAAAGAACAAGACTGAAAATCATTTGAAATATTCAGAAATGCTCTTATCAAAATCTAACTTTCTGTTAACAACAAATTTGTGAAGAATTTAACATTTTCATTAGTTCATTATCAAAACCCCATGTATTACGTGTGTACCTCAATTCATTACATACGAAATCAGAAAATCAAACGGAAAGTCAAATAATCGATCAATTTATATTTGCAAACTATTAGAAAACTAATTTTTTTTAATAAATTTTTTCACATTGATTTTCATATAATAACACAAATTTATGCAAAGGTCTGCAAAGTAAGTAAAATAGTGTCAATTTACAAATAGTGGTAATTCTAGTAAGTTTTTTTTGACCTAATCTTCGACTAAATCTTTTTGACTAAAATGCAAAATAATTCAATTTTTTAAATTTGTATTTCTGTCAGAAAAATACGAAATCAGAAAATCAAACGAAAAGTGAAATAATCGATCGAACTAATTTTTTAATAATTTTTTTACATTTACTTTTATATAATAACACAAATTTATTTAAGTAAGTAAAATAGTGTCAATTTACAAATAGTGGTAATTCTAGCAAGTTTTTTTTGACCTAATCTTCGACCTAAATCTTTTTGACTAAAATGCAAAATAATTCAATTTTTTAAATTGTGTCAAATTACTTATTATAATTAGTAAAGATTCTTGCAAAGAAAATCTCATTTCTTTTTTAAAAATTACAAAAGAATATGGTAAATACTTGAGATGGGCCTATTATCATTATATTTTTTGGGTAAAAGCAAGTGAAAAGAAGCACTTAAATATAAAACAAACGTATTTAAGTTGAGTTTCTTTTACTTTCCCTTTAATGCCTACTATTACATGCCCTGAAATTGCACACTCGACGATGATCAGAGCACTTCAAAATTACGTAACTGCCCGATTCAGAAATGAACTGAGAG